GAAAGAGAGAGAGAGAGAGAGACAGAGACAGAGAAAGCAGCTGGTACAGGAGCTGCGGGGTGCATGAAGTCGAAATGGCTGGGGAGGGCGGGGATGAGCATGGAGGCCTGGAGACATAGAGACAGTGAGAGTGCGAATTAACCGCGACCATGAGAGAGAGAGAGAGAGGAAGAGAAAGAGTGTTGAAGAAGATGAGCGACTTTACGTGCGCCTCCTTTTGAGGGGGGCGCAGTAGTCCTGCATCTTGGTGGCGAATGGCAAGGAGGAAACGAGTGTATCTGAGTCAGGATGAAGTAGGAAGGGTATGCAAGGGTTCATCGCTCCGAATCTTCTTCGCGCAGATGCCAGCCGCTTTCTTCGTCCGAGAGCGGGCCTCGGCGGGACCCCCTCTTGGAGCCGCCCCTGGAGCTTGCCCTGCCACCGGCGGCGGCTGCAGCGGCTAGGGGACCACCGCCCACGTCGCCCTGGGACGAGGATTGCGAGAGTGGCCTTCCGCCGATCTGGCTTTCCTCGTCTTCGTCGACCATGCCGCCGTATGCGACGCCTCGACGACCACGGCTTCCGAGCGAGACGGGTGCGCTGGCCCGGGACTCCATGTCGGGGTCATTGTACGCCGCGCCCCTCCTGCCCTGGGCTGCGCTGCCCACGCCTGCACTCGAGCTGACCGAGGAGCCGGGACTCCTCCTGCCCGTATCGCGGTAGGAGGCAGCGGGCGCACCGCCTGCACCACCTACAGCCGTGGCACGAACGGGCGAACGACCGATGGCGTTCTGTCGCTGCTGCTGCTTGGACTGCTGCGCATAGTTGTACGCCCTGCGACCCCACTCAAAGTGAGGCTCGTTGAGGCTCTCCTGGTCGAGCAGCAGGAAGATGTACATGCCGTACAGCAGCTCGATGACAAAGAGGAAGACCTGCACGCCAAACGTGGCGTACGCAAAGCCCGTGGCGTACTCGAACAGATCGCAGACGTGGTTAAAGTTGGCGGGCTTCTCGTAGTGCCAGTATCCGTCGAACTGGCAGTTTTCGCGGCCGCGCAGATCGTTGGCATAGGCCAAGGCGCCCGACACCCACAGGACGCACATGGCAAACTGGAGGAGCAGCTCGATTTTGACCATAAAGAGCGAGTAGAGAAAGTCGCCGTAGTTGATGAACGGCATGAGCGGCAGGAAGATGTTGTAGCCAAAGTAGATGATGGGCGTGAAGAGGCCGAGGATGATGAGGAAGATGAGCGAGCCCCACGAGGGACGGATGATGGGATCGTTGGAGTTGTAAAAGTCGACGATGAGGATGGCGATGATGGCGGTGGCGAGCGAGAGCAGTGCGACGAGGCCGGTGACGAGGAATCGGATGACGAGCATCACGTTTGGGTGCGGTGCACCGGGGAGCGAGCCGCGCGCGGGCTCAGCTACGGTGAGCGAGCGGCGCTGCGGAAGACCCATGGTTGCGATGCGTGCGAGCGGTCGTGGTGTGTACGGATCGAATGGGAAACGTGGTAAGAGCAAGCAACGACCTTGTGCCGATGCGTCGAAGCTGGTGGCTGCTCACTGGGCCCAAGCTCGACAGAAAGACGATGCCGGATGGATGTACGAAGTGATGTGCACTCTCCGCCGAGATTCGATGGATTGACCTGCTGCTGGCGAGGAGGGTCAAGATGATGGGTGTAGGGGTCGAGACGAAGCAGGTCGAGTCGGCGGGGAGGGGGAGGACGATGAAGGGTGAAGGATGGATGGATGGATGAGGGGATAAGGTTAGGTCTGGGAGGGAGCGACTGTCGAACAGTTAGGATCGCGAAGGCATGAGGATGAGGATCAGGCAGGACTCAGCAGGCCCACACACACACACACACACACACAGACGAGGGGAGGCAGCGCCAGGCAGCGCGGGGAAAGCATTGGCTTGGATCCATGTCGATGGTTCAACGGGGTAGCAGGAGTCGCTGCAGAGTAGAACCGCCGAACGGTGCGGAGCGGCTACGGGCGGATGCAGCTTGGGCAGCTCAGGCGAGACCCGGTCGCAAATGTTGATGCATGGCAGCGCCCGCACAAGGCCAAGGCTGTTTGCGACCTCATACGAGAGTTGAAGGGTAGGGGCCTCGTCGTTTTGTCGCTGCGAGAGTGGGAACGGCTGCGTCAGAGCGAGGGGCCCAAAGGATCGACGGCGGGTGCGGGTGCGGAGATGCTCAGGGCGGGGAATTACGACGAGGACCCCGCCTGTCTCTGAGTGCAAAGATCGGAGGTGCAAAAACCGTTGGCGGGGCGTGAAGCGGCACTTTTTTCTTTTTTAACGAGCTAGTCAAAACTCGAGTCGGGGCGTCAATTGGGGCAGAGACCAGCTGCCTCTCGCCTCGCCGGGTTGGGCGAGAGGGCTAAGCGAGGGGCTTGCGCGTCTGCAGGCCCAATCGAATTTCCACCCAACTGCATCCACAGGGCCTGGCTCGCATAGATCGACAGACACTGCTCCGTTACGTCGGCCCCTGCTCCCCCTTGCCGTCGCTGCAAGAGAAGGATTCCCAAGGTTGCAGCGCAGACCGTATAGCGAGATACTTCATCCACCACTGCACTGCACTGCATTGCACTGCACACTTGACACTAGCCTGTACAAACACCAACGCGCGGACCCTTTGCTTCTTTTGTTCATCTGGATCCACTCGTACCCCTTGCGATCGGTGTTGCAGAGTGAGACGGTTGCACGTGTGCTTTTGGCAGCGACGATGGCATTTGGTCTGGGAACGAGCAGCGGTGTGAAAGGCGGCTTGCGCCCTCGCCTAAGTGTTTGTAGCAACGCCCTTTCCTCGTCGGACAGTGAAGCAGCTGCGGAACAATTTTTAGAAAGGGCTCTCGCTGCTGCTGCTGCGACGGGATTTTTTCCCATCAGTCGGTTCCTCGAGTGCAGCTCGCATGTGGACGTGCATATGCGTGCAGCAGCCTGGGATTTCGCCTCATCATGCATTGCGAACGCCCTTGGAGCGGGCGGAGTGCCAAATCCAACTGCCCCCAACTCCACCGCGCACCCACTCTACGTGTTCCCTGCACAAGGCTCGCAGCTTTCCCTTGCCGCAGATGGCCTAGCATGACATCCCTGTGGGCCGTCCACGAGTGCACTCACAGTATCGGTTCCTGAGTCGACCCCGCAACCACACCGCGTTGAAACAAGCTTCACACTTAAACTTCACGTCTTGTCAACGCGAGATGCGCTTTTGCGAGCATCAAGATGAACCAGGAGGTGCCTGCGCGGTGCAAAAGCCGCTTGGATCGCACTCACCGCCGTGGGCAGCCAGTGATTTTTCTCGTCTCGCCGAATCCGGTCAGACCGCCCGCGCAAGCGATCCTGCGCAAGGCCTCCCCTGTCTCTCAAATTCTGAAGCATCCCTCGACTTGATCCGGCTGCCGACAACTCCACCCATCGGGACTCACTCCCGATCGCTTCACCGTTCACCGTAGTTGCTCCATCTGGTACCAAACGCCATCTCTTGTACCTTGCAAGGCGACACCAGGGTCAATCTTGTGGGGATAGAGGCCTGGATATCTGCGCTTTGGTCCCGTCCTTACCCGTTGAACGGCGAGGTAGGAATGCCAGGCAGAAGCAGCCAAGCGAAGCCGGCAGCGGCGGTTCCTACATTACCCCGCTGCCCCCCCGCCGCCCCCGCAATCCCCACTTTCACGCTGCTTCACCGCGTCTTTACCCCACCCGCACCTCGCGCCTGGTTTTCATATCTGGCCTCCTCGGCCGATTCCTCGCAGCTCTTCCCGATCCGATCCAGACCAACATCACAACCACGCTCCTTTCGCGCCATCTATTCTATCACATTGACACATCTAGCGAGCAGATCCAGGGCGTATCTAGGGCACGGCGTCCAGATCACCCAGACTGTTGATGAGGTAGTCCGGCACGGTCTTGGCGTCGTCGCCCTCGATCTCGTCGCGCGTCGAGATGCCGGTGAGCACGAGCATGCTCGCGATGCCGCCGGCCTTGGCAAACTCGATGTCCGTGTTGAGTCGGTCGCCCACCATGATGGCGCGTGCCGGGTCGAACTGCTTGGTCGCAATGATGCAGTCCAGCATGGGCTTGTGCGGCTTGCCCACAATCGTCGGCGTGCGCTTGGTCGAAAAGACCAGCGGCGCAGACAGGCTTCCTGCGCCCGGCCACGGTCCTCCCTTGGCTGGGAACGTCGAGTCGTCGTTGGTGAGGATAAAGTGACATCCTCCACCCTCCTTGCCTGCTTCCACGTCACCCTCGCACCCCGCCCGCGTCAGATGCTTGAACGCCTTGGCGATCTTGATGTACGACATGTGCATGTCGAATCCACACACCACCGCGCCCACCTTGGGATCGATCGCCTCGTCGTTCTGCAGCGACGTAAAGTCGAGCGCCGGCAGGAACTTGTTATCCTCCTCATCCGTTCCGCCGCAGTGCAGGATCCCCTCGGCATCCAGCTCTTCTTCGATCCCGTGCATGCCGATCACGTACACCTTGCGATCCGCCGGGAAGTTGAGCACTTTTTTCAGATACACCGCCGACGCATACGACGACGAAAACACCTCGTCCAGCGACGCCTCGATGTTCATGCCCGCAAACTTCTTGAGGTACGTCGCGCGCGACTTGGACGCGTTGTTCGTCACAAAGATCACCGATTTGCCGCGCGCCCGCAGCTTCTGCAGCACCGACACGACGCCCGCGATCGTCTCGTCGCCCGACCACAGCACGCCATCGCAGTCGAACAGGAACGTGTCGTACTTGCCAAGCAGCTCTTCGTAGTCCGCCAGCTCCTGCAGGTACTTGTACGCAGTCGTCTTGGCACCGTTCGCCGACACTGCACCGGTAGAGCCCGCGGCAACAGCAAGTGCCGCGGTGGTACCAGCGGCAGCGCCCAATCCCACCGTGGCGCCGTCGCCCGTGAGCTGCGTTGCCGCAATCGCATCCGCGTGCTTGTCGACGGCCGCCGGCTTGGCACCGGCCTGCTTGCGGCTTCCATCCTCGGCTATTCCACACTGCTCGGTGAGCGTCTTCCAGTACACGTCAAAGTCCCACTCGTAGTTGTAGCGTCCGCCGAACTCGACATCGAGCTGCTCGGCGGGCACGAACTCGGCGAGGTTGGCGTTGAAGCGGATCTTCTCCTTGGTGATCGGGTCGAGGAACGGCGTGATGGCCGTGAAGAAGGCGTTCAAGAACCACGGCACGTTCATGACAAACGCTCGGCCGAGGCGCTCCACGTAGTGGTTCTGCAGGATGTTGGCCACCGCGCGCGCGGTCGAGAGCGACGGGTTGGACTGCGACGTGGCCCCGCGGTAGTCGATCACGATCGCATAGTTCTCCACGCCCTCGGGCATGAGGTCGATGGCGCGCTCGAGCGTGTACACGAGGTATCGCACCTGGTCGTTGCTCGGCGTCGTATTCTCGCGCGCCGGACGCAGATAGATCAACGGCCTTCCGTCCTTGTCGAAGCCCGAGACGATCTGCTTGCCCGTCTCGGCCTCGTGCGCGATGCTCGCCGGTGCGATGATCTCGGGCCGGAACTCGCGTCGCCACTCGAGCGTCGACTTGATCCGCTTCTTGGCATTCTCCACGTCGCCCTTGGCCGCACGCAGATAGCGCTGGTACAGGTTGTGCTCGCCCAGCCACTTTTGCTCCCACACCTCGTAGTCGGCGGGCGGTGCGGTTTGCGATGCCACGCTGCGCGCGTACTTTTCCAGTTCGGCCAGCTTGGCCTCCTGTTCGGGCGTGAGTGGGTCGCGCGGTTTGGGCACGCAGCCCGGGGCGGGCGTGGTGAGGATCTGCGACGTCTTGGGCGGCAGCGGCTCGCCGTTGGCGTCGGACTGGTTCGACTTGATCGAGTGCGTCGACGGCGTGCGCGACAGGCGCCCGAGGAAGCGCGACATGGCTGCGATGGGTGTCTATGGAAGAGCCGTTGGGACGAAGGCAGGAAGGACGGCGACGCGTTTCTGTGGGTTGATCCGTCCACCGCTCAGTCGCCGATTGCACATCTCCGTCGCATCTCGGCGCTTCTCGCGGCGTTTTATCGGCGGCTGTCTCTCGCTGGCCATTTTTTACGCTGGGATTGCAAAAAGATGGCAAAAGATCGGGAAATGACATCGGCGATAGAGAGAGAGTCGCGCCTCCACGTGTTTCATGGGTTTTGCGGCGTAGACGCAGCTGCAGGGACCAGGAGGAGGTGACGTCTGGGAAAGAAAGGCAACACGGCGCGCGGCTGCTGCTTGTGGCTCTATCCTCCACGTCCTTGTCGTCGTGGAACCAAACCTCTCGCCACCGCCTTCCCTTCCATCGTCTTCGCTTCCACGCATCGGCTCCCTTCGCTCTACGCAGCACAAGAGCTTGGCGAAGCGTTAAAAGCCGCACCCGACTTCTGTCTTTTCCGTCGTGCAGCACACGAAACTCGTCACTCCTCCTCCCCTTCCAACTCTCTCTGCCGTTCGCACACCATGGCGGAGACTGCGGGAGAGGCTCACGGCCTCTTGCACAACCTCCTATCCGAGGTCGTGCCGTATCCGGTGTTTCAAGTGCTCGCTGGCTTCTCCAACCTCATCTACCGGTTACTCGGCTCGTCCAACGACCCGTCTTCTTGGACGTCAACGCTGCTGCCACCGCTCATCACCTTCTTCCTCGCGTACTTTGCGCTGGTTACCGCATACCGCACCTTGCGCTCCATGATCTCGCTCGCGTGGTTCGGCATCAAGTGGGGCGCCATCATTGGCGCGCTCATCGCCATCTGGGCATGGTGGACCGACAATACGGACGCCATCAACAGCACAGGCACCGTCCCCGGCCGCGGCGGGTTCCTCAATCAGCGTAAGCATTGATTTGCCTGACTTGCTTCCCGTGTGTGTGACGTCGTACTGAGACGCGTGGCATTGCTTCTGTGTATCGGCAGTGTTCAAAGGCTGACCCACTGCACTTGCCTCGCACTCTTTCGGCAGTCAACACGTTTGGCCCGCTCTTCAACAGTCTCTACTCGCAGCTTCCCTCGGGCTCGGCAGCGGGCACGTCTTCGACAAACTCGCGGCGTCGCGCCACATCGCAGTCACGTAGACGAACGCGGGGATCGCGCAACGACCAGCGTGCCTTCTCGTTTGATCCGACCGCCGATCTTCCCGCCGACTTGGGCGCTGGATTCGGTGCGTTTGCCGATATGTTTGGACGTCCCGATGGCGGCGCCGACCGCAACGGCGTCGACTTTGGCGCGCTGCTGCGCACGCTCGTGACCGAGGGGCAGAGGCAGGGCATCGATGCGCTCTCGGCACTCCGCGCAGCAGGCAAGGTGCAGGACGAGCTGAAGCGCTTCCAGCAAGATCCCGCAAGCTGGTTCGAGGGCGTGGGCGACAGCTTCCGCACCCAACCACAGGCGCAGGCGCCCAACACACGCGCACGCGCTCAGGCGAGAAGAGCACAGCGCCAGACCGAGCCGGCGGGCATGGAGGGGGATTCGTGGTGGTCCAACCTGGCTGCGGGCGTGAACGAGTATCTGAAGCCGGAGCCTCGTGGACGCACTGGCCGAGCTGCTCGCAATGCGCAGTGACGCGTCTTGAATCACACCCGTGTCGGAATCTTTGCACTTGGATCGAGATTGGATGCTTGTGGTGTGTGGTGGTGTTGCTAGTCATTCGAGTCTTCGCTGACCATCTCGAGGGCTGGAACCTTGTCGGTGCGCATGCCGAGACGCGTAGCAATGTCGATTGCGACCTTCCTGACAGACTGGACATCCTGCTCGGACCAGCCTGCACGCATAGCGCCACGCATGTGCCAGAGCACCTCTGCGCGGCAGTTCTGCGTGACGAGCGCGGCGAGCACGACCAGCTCGGTATCTCTCCAATCGACCACGCCCTGCTGAGCGAGGTTGAGGCCGTAGTTGACGTCGAGCGTCAAAAACTTGAGATCCTGCATGTTGTCGTTCATCTTGACGTCTAGGATCTCGTCCAAATTATGGCGGTACACCCTTCTGAGTGCCTCTTCGGCTTTCGCACCAAGGGACGAGACGGGTTGATCCAGCAGATGCGACCTCGTAAAGTCGTCCTTTGTCAGCAGGTGGGATGGAGCCGAGGATCGAATGTGCGCCAGCAGCTCAAAGACCGTATCGAGGGCCGGGGGGATGCCAAAGATCACACTGCCCTTGACGAGGGTCTCCTGGATGCGACGTTGGATGCTTTGTGCCGCCGCTTTGTCGGCCGCGCTTTCGGAAAGCGCAAGTTCGTACAGCGTCCTGACGGTTTCGGGCCCGTGGTGAGAGGAGACCAGTGCCGAAGTAAGCACCAAGAGCCACGATCGCTCGCGCACGGGCGCCGACAGCGCATCGCGCCACGCCAGGATCTCGGCCCTCGTCACCACCGCAGGCACCGCCACTGCTGGATAGCTCCAACTCGACATGGTCCTTGGAGACGTAACGCCACGAGGCAGCGCAAGACTCGCTCTGGCCAAGCCAACCAGTACCCTTTGCATCGAATCACGCCGTGGTGGTTGCTCCACAACCCCTTTTTCTTCACCAACGCGCAGTTCGATTGGGCTCCATGCACACTACACGCGCCCCCCCTCACGCCCACACACCCACACACCCTCATCACACATTCTCACCTCTTCACCCACCCCATTGCTTATGAGATTGTAATCTTCGATTTGTGCTGCGGACTCAGATGCCCATCTGCCGCTTCATGCCCAGCCATACTGCAAACGAGATGCTCGTCATCGGCACCACCTTCAAGAATCCGATGCTGAGTCCCACGTAAAATCCCCTCCATCCACTTGTCTTGTAGATCCACGCGGCGGTCTCGCCCATGCCGAGCATTGCTCCCGGCCTGATGATCCCTCCGACCTGCTGTCTCCTTCGGATCACCTCGAACGGGTATGCAGCCGTCTGGGACAATGCGCCCGCCAACGCGCCCGCCGAGAGGTCCACCACGGTCTTGCTGGGCCAGAACCACCGCCGTCTGCTCCCCGGCACATCGGCTGCTGGTTCCGACGGCGGGAAGAGGTCCTGCAGCATGGTCTTGCACCTTCCGAACACCAGGAAGCTCGTGCCCGCATAGGGGATCATGCCCATCACCGTCACGCTGAAACCGCGGTAGAACTTGAGCACGGGATATTGGGCCAGCAACCTGTTGCCCGCAGGCACGGCTGCCGAGGGCACGTTGGGATCGGTTGCCCTGAGTGCGCTTCCCAAAGCGCTCGCCGACGCACTGGTGGCGGCCGTGCTGAGATTCGCCTGCTGTGCTGTCTGTGCCATCCTGGCCGCGCGCCTGCGTGCATCGCTGCTGAACGGCGCCTCGGTTGCGCCCTCGCTGTAGATCATGCGGATGATGCGTCGCACCCCGCCCTTCTGCCTCTTGCGCTTGGTCTCAAACGCCAGCCGCACGCGAATGAGTTCGAGCGGATACGTGAGGAAGACCGACAACACACCACTTGCCGACCCCGCCAGGAAAAGTCGCCCCGAGGTCTCGGACTGCTTGGTGGGCATGAGGTAAAAGTGCAGCTTGTCGTACGCCATGTACTTGATCGCCGCGTAGGGGAAGATGCGCATGAGCGTCGCGCTGTGTCCCTGAAACAGCGCCGACGGCCCGTCGGAACGCACAATGTCGCGACCCGCCTGGAAGACGCCGAGCCAGCGGCCCGAGTACTTTGCGAACTCGGGGTTCTGCGCCTGGAACAGGATCTTGACGCGGTCGAGCGGTGCGATGGCCGACTTGGCCACGCATCCCGCGATGCCGCCTGCAAATCCGGAGCGCAGCACATAGTTCCAGCTCGTCTTGTCCGAAGTCTCGCCGAGCAGCGTCGAGACGGGAGCGGCGGCGGCAGCAGCGGCAGCGACGGTGGGGCGCGGGGAGGGGGCAGCGCTGGATATTGAGAGGCCCGCTTGTTGGGTGTGGTCGTATGCGCGGGACTTGCCTTTGAGGTCGTAGGGTTGCTGCACGTCGCGGGGGTCTGATGCGGCCGAGTCGGTCTCGCACAATGGCGGATGCTGTGGGCGTGGTGCCGCCATGCTGTGGATGCGTGCGCCGGTCCGCCCCTTGCCGGATGAATCGAGCCGAGCGTCTGAAGGACACTCGTCGCTCCCGCTACACTGCGTCGGCGTCTGCGTCGGCGTCTTGAGCTGCGCCGCGTCCCTTGAGAGGAGTTGGACGTGTGTGGACGTGTGCGTTGTGCTGGTTGCAGGTGTCGGATCCGATGCTGCTTCCGCTAACCTTTCCGTGGAGAGTTGGCTGGAACACAGCCGTGTCGAATGATGTTGCTCTCTGGATGGCGAGTGGCCGCCTGAGCTCGATGTTGGTGGTCGCAAGCCGAGTGTGGGGGATGATGGGCCGACTCTTTACCGGCCTGGGCTTTGACGGCTGAGCCGGACTGGAATTGGAATGCAGACGGACGGCTGGACCGGCTGTTGGCGTTGGATTTGCATTTGGCTGCCCCGCTGCTGCTGCTGCTGCTGC